GAGAGAGAGAGAGAGAGAGAGAGAGAGAGAGAGAGAGAGAGAGAGAGAGAGAGAGTGTGTGTGTGTGTGTGTGTGATATCACTTATATAGTTTCTTCTACCCCTTCCAATTCTAGTGATGTGGTACCAGTTTCCACCTATCTCACATGACTTAATTGAAAGCATGTCTAATTTGGTAGCAGCATCACCCTAACCTCTATCTTCCGTGATAGATAGATAGATAGATAGATAGATAGATAGATGGATAGATGGATAGATAGAATTGAATATCCATTGCTTTTACTCTTCCTTAACCTGAAAATGGCAGCTTAACAAAGTGACCATGAATCCCTTCAACAACCTTTCTCTCTACCCACTCTCAGCCAACCTGACATTTGACACTTGAAAGGCAAAATTTCCACATGTGCAAATGAGGAGCAATAAAAACAGGAGAATTCTTTTGCTCTTCTTACAGGAAAATGGTTTCAGTTTTATGACCTGGCGAAGAAGAAACTAAATAACGTGTTAAAGTAAATATACTGCTTCATTCAATTGAATTCTGTTCAATTCAACAAGGATTTCTTTTGTACCTAAAATGTGCCAAACACTGTTCTACATGCTGGAGATTCAATTTTTTAAAATGTCTCTGCTCCTAAGGAGCTATTTGGTAATGTAAATAAGTAAATAAATAACTTGATGCACGGATACAGATAATAAATAACCTGATTAGAGAGAAAGCAACACCACCACCATCAATGCTCTCTACTCCTACTCATGAGCCACTGGCTGCTGCAGCTGGAGAAAGTCACAAACTGTGCTGAGTGGATCTGCTGAAAATTCACGCTATTTGATGACAATTGGATCCTATTGTTGGTGTTGTCACACAGCTAGTAAGTGTCTGAGGCCAGATTTGAACTCAGGAAGATGAATCTTCCTGACATCAAGTCTGGCACTTTGCCACCTACCTGCCTTGGCAATCTTGCTATTTATCTTCAACTGACTCCCTATCATCACTCCCATAGAGGCTGTTCCAAGCCTTCTCATCTGTCTTGAAGCCTTCAGTTATATGTTTCCCTTCTTGCTCAGATTACCTTTTTCTTTCTTTCTTTTTTTTTTAAATAATATTCAGCCTAACTATTCTGGGCTTTACTGGTCTCTCATCCTCCACAACTTAAAACCTTCTTATCTTCACTCACCATCTCCTCCTTTGCTCCAGGTCTCAGAGTATTAGGTTGCCTTCCTTTTTGCCAAGACTAACCCTTCTACTTGAAACCCTGATTTCCCATCCTTCTGTCTCCAATGGAAGCTTGTCCTATTGATCATATTTAATCTCTCCTTATCTGGTGGTCCATTCTACACAGTCAACCTCAGGTCTCCTTTCCCCCAATCTAAAAAATACAAAGAACAACAAAAACTCAAACCCCTTGCTGGTGCCATCCTCTCAAGTTATCATACTATTTCTCTCCTTCCCCTTTCTTCCCTTTTCAACTTCTAGACAGAACAATTTATATATGCTGCCTCCACTTCCTTCCAACAATTCATTCCCCAGTCTCCAATCTGACACCAGCACTCTATTGGCACTCTTCCAAGCCACCAATGATATTTTCCCATTCCTTGCCCTTGATGTTGCATTTCCATTTTCCCAGTCCCTCAGGCTGGTATTCTAGACTCCTTAATCTCTCACCCCACCATTTCCAATCTGTTGCCAAGGCTTGTGAATTTCACCTTTGTAAGATCTCTTCAATATGCTCTTTTCCTCCTCTGATTCTGTCACACCCCAGTGTAGGACTTCACCTTTGCATGCCTGGACTATTGCAATAGCCTGCTGGTTGGTCTCCCTGCCACAAATCTTTCTCCCCTCCAGTCAATGTTCCATTCAGCAGCAAAAATGATTTTCCTAAAGTGCAAGTCAATCACATCTCCCCTACTCCAACCCTATTCCATCTCCCACATAAACTCCAGTGGCTCTCTATCACCTCCAAGATCAAATAGAATCATCTCTGTCTGGGTGATAGAGTGTTATGTTGA